CAACGTACAGAAGTTGCAACAAATGTGCGAACTGATGATGGTCTTACAAATGGAGCGAGTAACATTATAAAGTTGATACAGCTCACTGATGTGAATAAACCTTCGGGTATTATCTGGGTCCAAGTCGATTATGAAGACGTTGGTAGAAAAACTCTTCAAGAAAAGAGAACGCTTTATGTCAGAGGAATTCAAAGCACATGGACACCAATTAAACCTGTCACAACCCAATTTCCAGTCGGTAGAACGAAATCTGCTCAAGTTGTTAGAAAACAGTTTCCATTGCGACCAGCATCAGCAAAAACTGTTCATAGATCACAAGGTGATACTCAAACACAAATTGTTGTAAACCTAAACAGCAACAGGGCTTTTCCTCACATTCATTATGTTGCTTTAAGTCGAGTTACAACAATAGAAGGATTATACATCACTGACCTATGTGAAGACAAGATATCTGTTGATCAAAGAGTTGTCAAGGAAATGGAAATCTTAAGAACCGAACAAAGTTTGAATCTTTGTTTCAAACCACTTTATATGTTGGATCAATCTGATTTGAAAGTTTGTTACCTCAATGCAAGATCTTTGCATGAACACATTGAAGATGTTCGAAAAGATATTAATTACTCGTCTATGGATATTGTGATATTTACTGAAACAAGGTTTAACTCCTCAGGCACTGACGATATATACAACATTGATGGCTACAGGTTGTTCAGAAATTATGTTTCCCAAGGTACGGGTCCAGGACGTTCATACGGTGGAACAGCTGTTTATAGCCGAGTCCCTTTAAAACAAGGATACCCTTATGTTCACAACGTCAATGGAATCGAGTTTACAATTATTAAAACAGAAAGTAATCCGCATCTGAATATAATTGGAGTATATCGCTCACCCAGTATTGCTATATCACGTCTACTGTTTTCACTACGTAGCGTACTTGATGAAGATTCTTCTGCACAAAACATTATAATTGGAGATTTCAATGTCAACTGGATGGTAGAATCTGATCGACAGTCACTCTACAATTTGATGGTTGTACAAAATCATTACAGGCAACTGATAACAGGCTTTACAACCGACAACAGAACGTCAATTGATCATTTATACACAAATTTAATTGAAGAGGAAATTGAAGCTGGTATTCTAGAAACTTACTTTAGTGATTATAAAGCAATATGGGCTTCTCTTAGGACATAGAAATAATAATTATATACCGTTCAATTAAGGTATCGCAAAGATAGCAACTAGCAAGCCATTGTGCCACTGCGAATGTTATTAAAGCAAGCCATTGCACCACTCCCAGTGTTATTAAGACAAGGCACTGCCAATTTTATTAAAACAAGCCGCTGTGCCACTGCCAATGAAATAAAAATAAGTCCTTGTGTGGACGATGGCTACATTTAGGTAAGTTTTCCTTTTCTCTTTCCCCCTCTCCCTTCCCTGTGTTTATCTGTTTAATTTGTTGTTTTTTTCTTTTTTAGATACCTCTATACATTAACATGGTCACATTAACGATAACTTCAGTCAACAAAAGTACTAAAAATAGAACAATTTTGGTATGTTGCTACGACTTATTACCATCTAGACTGTATGGCTTATGAAATTCATGTTACATTATACATAATTACATCCACTAATACTGTTGCATTAATATTTACAGATATCAGACGTGTACAATAATATGCCTTTCATTTGCTTGCGCCTGACAACATTGGTGGATAAATTATATTGAATGGTATATCATCTTATGTCAATGAGTATTCGAAAATGAAACAATTCAATTCAGCTACCAAAGTTAACACGTCTACAGTTGCGTCGTTATGTATTCTGAAAATTCAATGTGGAAGACTTGAAAATTAAGAAAGATGCACAGTACTTGAAGATACAACTTGGATATTTGTTGTACGGTACAGTACATTGCACCTGGCTCTGATACCAAAACATGTTAAAGGGAAAGGCTACTCAACAAAGTCGCACGTACAGTACAAAGAAAAGTTAACGCGACAAGGAAGACTTGACAATTAAGAAAGATGCACAGTACTTGAAGAAGTACTTTGTTGTACGGTACATGCTCGAATACTCATAATCGAACCAACAACGTGCGTGAGTACAGTACCTGTTATACCAACAATGGACTTGATATGCATCATAATCAACATCTTCAAACTTAAACTGGGTAGAACATGTACTCTAAAATGCAATAACACGTGTTCTATTGTCATAGAAAAGTGACTCATCCTCAAGGGTGGGTTGACTACAAATTTTTTGTAGTTCGCTATAACTACAGCTACTTCAAAAATATGTAGTCAGCTACAACTACTGCTACTTTTGAACAAAGCTAGTTCGCTACTGACTACAGCTACTGCTTAAAAATTGTAGCGAACTCTTTCGCTATTTCGCTACACTATATTTTTTAGTTTTACTGTATTTGGAGCATCTACTAACTCAGACTGTAACGTGATGTATAACAAATCGCAACAGCAAACACAAAGCAACATTTTTGTAAGCACTACAGTGTTCAGGAGTGCAATTGAGTACTGATTTTAAACAAACCGTGTCTCAATATCATGCTATTCTATCAAGTTGCTAACAATTTTAAAAAGTAGCGAATAGTGATTCGCCGTTTGAAAAGTAGCCAACTACTTGGCTACTTTTAGGCAAAATGTAGGTCGTTATAACTACAACTACTGTTTTAAAAAAGTAGTCAAAAACTACTGGCTACTTGAAAATTGTAGTTCGCTACAGTAGCGAACTACAACTACTTCGCTACAACCCATCCTCGCTCATCTTTTAGTTTTCACTAGCTGAATGTTCGTTATTTATTATAATTCACGTTGTCATTGACCATTTTTGGCAAGCTTTGGAAATTGTGGGATGGGTTGTAATTAAATCACTGACTTATAGACTTATAACTTATAACTGTAACCCATACTCTAATTTAAATTGTGTATATACAGTAGCCATCGTGCAAAATAAATCTTATTTAGTATTGTACTATTTGTGTTGATTATTAGTATCAAACGTTATCTATCGTTGCATTAGTTTACTAATGAAGTAAGTTTTCTATAGATGTCCCGTCTTAGAAAATCTCTGCAAGCCTAGATTTAGGCAAATTTTTGCTTATAACATAGACCGATGGAGGCGTGTGCAGCCCCCCCCCCCCCACAAAAACCATGTGCATCCCCCCCCCCCAAATGGTTTTGTACATTAGTTACAATTGGCATGCAACATGTACGCGCTGCGTACCTATTTTTTGCGATTTTAAATAAATCGCGAAATTAAAGTCACGCGAACAAAAAACTTCCCGAAAAACTATATTCTATAATAGCAAAAATGGTTCAATTTTCAAACCGTGATAACTCTTCGATTTTATGGAGTAAATTCATGTTTTAAAGCATCATAAACAGACGTAAACATTTCTGATTTCACTGATGTGATTTTATTTTAGTTTCCTTGCAAAAACGTATAATTTACTTATGAATATTTCAATGCCACTTTTTCAACACCCAAAACATGCATAAATACAATGGGAATTTAACATAGTAAAATGCGATATATACAGGGTGTCCCAAAAAACCCGAAAACTATTGAAATCACTTATTGTTAAATTTGAATGCCCTACCAAACAGCTGAACGTAATGATGCCTATAATATTGACAAGGCGCATGAATTAAAAGTTAGTTAAGAACATCTCCTTGCAATTTGCGCGATCTGCTCTTGAGAATTTAAAACAGCTTCTTAAACAGTTTCTTTATGCATAAAATTTACTTATGTCAATCATTTATGCACTCGTGGGAACCAACAGAGCGCTAAGACATTCAAATTCTAACAATCAAATTGCTATTGGTGATTTCAATAGTTTTTGTTTTTTTTGGGACACCCTGTATACAAAATTATTCAAAACTTCTTTTATAAATTACTAAACAAAAAAGTTATCAAAACATACCTTCGAGAAAACGAAATCTTCACAGCAAAAATCGCAATATATTTCAACAGTTTTTAATCGAACGGCGCGTTGAGAATAAATATCTTGAAATAATAATTGTATTTCGGCTGATGAGAAAGATCGTGACTCAATCTTTACGACCGTTACGACCATGTGGAAACCAGGCGTAGGCCACAGAATTTAGGTATAATAATAATAACGGGTTAAATCACAGCATCTCTACTGTCATAGTAGCTCTACATCTGCGATTCTAACTATAATTACACTGGCCGCAGCCAGTGTCATAATAGGCAATTCCAGCTTTTAGTTTATACGTGCAGGGGACGATGGGAAGTAAGGTATCATATTGTTGATTATACTGAAACAATAAAAATGATGGCCGTGTAAACACGCAGTGATAGCTTATACTTGTAAATATTGAAATATTTCGGTTGCTTCGGTAGTTTTTATTGAAATTTTTCAGCATAATCAGCAATATGATACCTTACTTCCCATCATCCCCTAGAGGCATAAACTAAAAGCTGGAATTGCCAATTTGCCCTTGCTGGAATGCAAGGAATTTTTCGGATTTTTGGTTGTCGCAGGAGTGACTTTCCATTGCGGCATCGTGGGCTCAGGATTTCGCAATTTAGCTAAAACGTGTTCAAGCTCTCGGTCTATTAACTGTGGTTCAAGTGATTACAACAAGTTCTACACGTTGTTAAACTGAACGAGTTCCGTATTCAGGGATGCCGGAAGATCGATAATAGCGGGTGCAGATATTCATATATTCGTGTTCACAGACTGTAAAAACAATCGATTTCAAAAGAAATTAATTGGGCAGAACGCGAATATATGAATATCTGCACCCGCTATTATCGATCTTCCGGCATCCCTGTCCGTATTTTTAAAACAACGTTACAAATCTTAGACGCTGTAATTGTGAGACGTATTTTATTATATTTCATTGCGCATGTGCTTGAACTTTTTCTGTGATAAGGCTCCTGCCAATTTTACCCTAATTATCCATAAATAAACCTGCATTTTGAGGAAAATTCGGGAAAATTGAACAATTTTACAAGGAATTTCGACAATCGACATGGAAACAGCAACCTTCGTAAATCGAAGTTACGTTTGTATTTTGAGAAGAAAAGCGCCACCTTTCGATTCAAGCGTAAGAAATTGTACTTACGGATATCAAGTATTACTAAATACCAGTATTCTAGTGATTTATGGCCTTTGAAAATCAAGCCAAATTGTATTGTTGACAACTCGCTCGCAGTACGTATAACGTATTGTTGACAAATCACTCGCACTACGTTTGTCCTTGTATTTGTAATGCCTAATGGCGCAATAAGGATAAAAATACCACCGTTCGATTCAGCATAAGAAATTGTACTTACGGATGTCAAATGTATTACTAAGCACCAGTATTCTAGCGATTTATGGCCTTTGAAAATCAAGCGAAATTGTATTGTTGACAAATCGCTCGCAGTACGTTTCATAGTGTATTTGTAATGCTATGGCGCAATAAGGATAAAAAATACCACCGTTTGATTCAGCGTTAGAAATTGTACTAATTATGGATGTCAAATGTATTACTAGGATATCTATGATTACTAAACAACAGTATTCTAGCGATTTATGGCCTTTGTCTTTGAAAGTCATGTGAAATTGTATTGTTGACAAATCGCTCAAAATTATTAAACTAATTTATAGTAATTATAAAAAAATGCAGTACGTTTGATCCTTGATAACTTTGATATCATTGGTTTTCTCTTTTCTGGCCGTATACCAGTGGATTCGTCTCACTTCTTTCTTCATTTTCATAGTATTTTGAGCCCAAAAGCCCCCAAATATTTTATTTTGAACGCTTTAAAGCGCAGTTTAATCCTAGCGTACGGACCAACTGGCGGCTGACAGTCTTGAAGAATGTAGCGTACTATAAAATACAACTTTACTTGTTGTAGACCATGGGATTCACAACAAGTGAGTCTCACAAAGAGGGACCAAACAAAACCAAATTAAATCGTCCTATCAAGGCCTATGTTACGCGAAACTGGCAGGTAACAAGTCCAAATACCCGGCTTTTTGATAAAAATACCCCAATGTGTGATTTCGCTTATTAGCTAAGACAAGTGAGCCAAGAAATGCTCATATCACGATCTTTGAATGATCATTTTTTTTTACTAATTCCTCAAACAACTTCAATTATAGTTTAAAAGCACTAGAACAACTCGCGATTATGATAGAAGATATATTTTACACTCCATGAATGGTGAAAACAAAGTTTTGGCACAAAAAACCCTAAAATATCAATAATTCAATGCCTACTCGAATTTTTCTTCACTCATCCCAAGTTTTATTAAATTTAGATCAATCAGATAGCGTGTTTTTCTTGTGTATTTACGATTGAATTTTTTTAATTAAGGTAACTAAGACACAATAAGCGGAAAATCGATTGTAGAATTCACACTGTATATAGTATAAAATACCTTGATTTTATCAACACACTTTGTGTACTATCTACAAATATTTTTCGTTCGATCGAGAGACCTAATATCGTTCTAACATAAAGTTTATCATAAATTAATTCTGTCTGACCAAGCCGCTGACCAGGTAACATTTTTTCCTTTAGAAGCCCCCCCTCCCCCCACCCAGTGTGGTAACGTCTTGGTAAGTGTACCGTACGGCCAGAACGTGTCGTTAACGATGGTGTTGGCAGTACCGTTGGCAAGAGTGGTTCAATTGCATCGGGAGGAACAGGTGTCATGGGATGTGTGGTTGGTTTGAGCGGTGGGTCGTCCATTTTCTCAAGGAATGCTGGCTTGAGCCTGTTGATAGAGACTGTATCACGGCACCCATTCTTGTTGAGGGTAAAGAACTTGTCATTGCGTTGGATGACTAGGAATGGGCCGTCGTAGGGTCGTTGCAACGGACTTTTGACTGCATCGTGCCTAACGTAAACATGTGTAGCTTGTTGTAATGCACGCGGTACGCAAACCGTGGTTTTTGTGGGGGAACAGGACGTTGCTGGTGCATTGTATCCCGAGAAGAAAATTGAGAGATGACCAGAGGTTGGATTCAAATTGCCGGCCACGATCCGACATTATGCTCCTGGGCAGGCCAAACCGTGATTTCCAACCATCAAGAGTAGCGATAAATGCATGTGAACAGATATAGCTGAACCCTCGAGACAGCTGAAGTGCGCCGGCAATGTCAACCTAAATCTCAGCGAAACGATGGTCTGGGATATCGAACTACGGAGCGGGGCTGTAGTATGACGATGAATTTTAGATTGCTGGCAAGCATTGCAAGTTCGAATCCACCGTCGAACATCAAGCCAACTGCCGGATTTGCCGTGGTGAGCGTTGGGTTGACCCACTTGAGATTGCAAAAGTCAAGGGTTTGTGATCAGTGTACACGTGGAACACACGATCTTTGATAAACCACCGAAAATGACGAATGGCTAAGTAAACGCCTAGCAGCTCTCGGTCAAACGTACTGTAACGTGTTTTTGCCCGCTGTAGCTTGCGAGAAAAGAAGCCGATGGAGCGCCACTCATGATCGATAAATTGTTCAAGAACGGCTCCCACAGCTAGATCTGAGGCATCAGATGTTATACTGGTTGGTGCATTATAATGCGGATGAACCAACAGTGTTGCACTAGCTAGGGCGGATTTACAGAACTGGAATGTCTCCTCGCATTCTGGAGACCAAATAAAATTGGTAGAGGATAATAGTTTGTGCAAAGGATGTAGCCTGTGAACAGTAGCGTAGCCAGCCCGACGATTTAGTCCCGCTATGCAAATATTTCGTGTTCATTGACTGTGAAAACAATCAATTTCTAAAGAAATGAATAATGATAATAATTTTGAATTTGCATAGCGGGACTAAATTGTCGCGCTGGCTACGCCACTGCCTGTGAAACTTCTTCTTGTCAACAGGTTGAGGAAATTCTGCAACAGCTTGGATGCGGGATGAAAGAGGGGAAATCCCTTGGGCACTGACATGATGACCTAAGAATGATAACTGTGCACGGCCAAGCTCACACTTCTTAGGATTAATGACTAAGCCGTAATGCTCCAGTCGCTGAAAAAGCTGGCGTAAATGGTGGCGATGTTGATCAGGCGTGGTGCTGAAAACCAGGATGTCGTCAATGAATACAAACACAAATTCCAGGTCACGGCAGACTTCATCCATGAATCGTTGGAATGTCTGGGCCGCATTGCGCAGTCCATATGGCATACGTTTGAACTCAAGAAGGCCGAATTGTGTAATGACTGCTGTTTTAGAGACATCCTCAGGAGCAACAGAAATTTTAAGGTATGCACGAACCAGGTCAATCTTGGAGAAGATTTTACAACCAGCAAGGCGAGCAGAAAAATCCTGAGCGTGAGGCACAGGGTAACGGTCTGGTTTAGTGGCTGCATTGAGAGCTCGATAGTCACCACAGGGGCGCCAGTCACCATTCGACTTTGGGACCACATGAAGTGGGGATGCCCAGTTATTTGATGATTTGCACACCGTATGAGAAGACAACATCTGGTCAAACTCGGTTTTTGCAGCTGCGAATTTTTCAGGAGAAAGGCGTCCAGCCTTCGCAAAAGTGGGCGGTCCAGCCGCGATAATATGGTGTTGAACATTGTGGTTAACAGCTGGATCGGTGATGCGGAGTTTACAGACTGCTGGAAACTCAGCAAAAATGGTATCGAACCCATTGGTGGGTTTAGCTAGCGATATGCGATTGAGAGAAAGGGAACGGAATGGTGAGGTCTGTGCAGGGACAATCATTGATGTTGCTGCATCTACGAGACAAGAGTTGGCAACATCAACCAACACCCGAATATACCGCAGGAAGCACCTAAAATTGGTGAAGACCAAGGTCCAGGCAAAGTTCATGCTTGCTATAGGTATGAATTGTCGAATTGTTAGCCGCGGTCAGAGAAACCCTCCTTCTGCAATACCGCTTGTCATGTTGCGTAGCTGGGAAAACACTGACCTCGGCACCTGTATCAATTAGAAACCGAGTTTTTGAATGTTTGTCCGTCACATACAACAGGTGGCTTGAGGAACCCCCAGTCACGTGCGCCTCTACTGGTGATCGGGCTTGTCGTTTGACCGTTTCCCGGCGCGGTATAGGTACAGGGTTGACGACATTTCGAAGCCTGTGTACAAAATCGGGTGTGATACCAACAGAGACCTTCCTTGACCAACTTGGGATCAGCAGCAAGTTTCCGTGCTCCAGTGTCAAGAAGCGTGAGAACTTTATTGAGATCAGATCTGATTGATGAGATTTCTGCTGACTCGGGTGTTTGAATCTGGGCAATGGATGGGTGAGCATCGGTTAGCTCTATCTTTCCATCGGCCATCAATGCTATAAGTCAGCCAACGGTTTGTCTGGATATGATAACAAATCAATCTGGACATTCGAAGGCAGGCGCTGTAGGAAAAGCTCACGAAGAAGCTTTTTGCCGGATGTACCATGTAATTGTTGTAAGCGTCGGAGCAGTTGCGATGATTTTGGGTCCCCTAACTCTTCAGCCTGTAAGAGTTGTTGGATCTTTCGACGCTTGGAAAGGGACACTCGCTCGGTGAGTGTAGCTTTAAGTACGTCGAACGGATTCGTAGAAGGAGGCGTAAGGATCAGGTCGCGAACCTCAGTGGCAGCTTTGGTCGATGAAGCCGCGACGATATGAGCGAATTTGGTACCTTGTGATATCATATTCTTCACCGAAAATTGCGCTTTGACTTGTGCAAACCAGAGCTCTGGGTCGGAAGGCCAAAATGGGGGAATTTTAACTGCCACCGCGTTCGTAGCTACGACGTTCGTAGCGGCCGTAGGTGGCGGAGTTTTCTTCGAGTTGCTTGATGAAGAAGGAGTCTGTTAGTATTATTGAATATCATTCAGTCGGACCACGGATATTTGAGTTTATGATCTACATTTCGTAACAACAACGTAAACAGTAAAACCATGTGTTAAAAGCAACATATAAAAGATGGCGTGACCTAGATATGACGTCACGTGCAGTTCTAGTTTTTTCGCATACATTAACATAATATTGACAGAGTCGTCATAATGATGAAGTAAATACGGGGTCAGCAATGTAGAATTCACACCGTATATAGTATAAAATATCTTTATTTTATCAACACACTTTGTTTACTTTTTACTTCTTTGTTACTATTTAAGTTTATCAGCAGCTGGGAAATTTGTTGCGCATGCGCCAGATTTCCATTGAAACTTGAAGATCAGTTTCCCGAAGAAATAACGAGATGTTCGTGGTTGTTGTATATTTTTGAATGCCTGTTTAATCTTTATAATTTTTTTGCTCGAGACAAAGACAAA